CCCCCCCCCGCCCCCTCGCCGCCCCTCGCGCAACAACCTCCGGCGCATGGGGGCGCCGCCCGGGCCCGGGGCATTCTCCATGAAATGCTCTATTGGGATGGGGCCGCCCGGTGGCCGAGGCGGGGGCCGACCGCATGGAAGTACGGGCCGCTCGGGGGAAGAGAGGCCGCTCGGGCGGACGACGGGGGAATGGCGCGGGCCCGGGGCCGGGGGCTCAGGGCGGCGTGGCCGGGCCGCCGGCCGCCACGTGCAGGGCGGCGCACCGCTGGCGGAAGACCCCGGCATCCGGCCGGCGAGAGGCCTCCGCGTGCCAGGCCTCGGCGATCAGGTGCCGGGCCTCGGCGAAGGGCCCGGCCAGGGGCAGGGCGTCGGTGCCGGGGCGCTGGCCGGCCAGCACGGCGGCCATGACCCCCGGCAGGCCCATGCCCGGCCAGGGGGCCGCCCGGGCGATGCACTCATTGAGCATGACCGCCGCGGCATAGATGTCGGCCGGCGGACGGAGCCCCGGCTCCAGGGGGGCGCCCTGGTGGAAGGCGGCGATGACCTCGGGCCCGGCATAGCACACGGTCAGGGCATGCAGGTCGGGCGGCATGGTGTCGAGGAGGGCCGAGGGCCGGTCGGGCGCGAAGTTGCGGCTGGCCCCCAGGTGGCCGAGGGCCGCGCGCCAGGCCCCATCATGGCCCTGGCTGACCAGGACATTGGCCGGGCTCAGGTCGCCATGGGCCAGGCCGCTGGCGTGCATGGCCTCCAGCCCGGTGGCCCACTGGTGGATGATGTCGGCCAGGTGCACCGGCGACAGGGGCACCCCGGACCGGAGCAGGGTCAGCAGGTCGCTGTCGAAGCGCTCCATCACGATGGCCGGCGGGCTGTGGCTGTAGCCGAAGAGCCGGACGATGTTGCCATGCCCGCGCAGCTGCCACATCAGGGCGACCTCATTGTGGAAGAGGGCCTGCTGCGTGGGCGGCATCGGGTGGGACTTGGGCTTCTTGATGGCCACCACGGCCGGGCAGGCCAGCCGCTCGGCCACGGCCGGGCTGACGGCCTGCGCCGAGTACACACTGGCCGGGCCCCCGGCGCCCGGGGGGGCCGCCTCCTCCTCCTCCTCCTCCTCCAGCGGCCGGAAGTCCACGTCGGCCGCCACCACCAGGGCCCCGGGCAGGGCCACCAGCTCCAGGAGGGTGCTCAGCATGGTGGCGTCCTCGGCGTCGGCCGCGGCCTTGGCCACCGGGTGGGCCTTGTGGCGCCGGCGGACGCACAGCAGCACCAGCAGCAGCAGCAGGATCAGCAAGATCAGCAGGCCCATGGACAGGCCGACGGCCAGGCCGATGCGCGACGCCCGCGACCCCGGCGGGGCCAGGCAGCCATCCGGCCCGGGCCCGGAGCAGGCGGCGCATGCCGGGTCGCAGGCCCGGCACATCGGGCCGGCCGGCGCCCGGGCGTCCGCGAAGAAGCCCCCCGGGCAGCGGTCCACACAGGCGGCCCCATTCAGCAGCAGCAGGCCCCCGGCGCAGCGCAGGCACCCGGCGATCTCCGGGCACGAGAGGAACCCCTCGCGGCTGGGATCGCAGCCCTCCTGGCCGGGGCCGGCCTCGCACCGGTCGCAGCCGGCGACACACGCGAGGCAGGTCCCCCCGGCCGGGGCCGAGCCCGGCGGACACACATCCAGGCAGGCCCCGGCCGGGGGGTGGAGCAGCCGGCCGGCCGGGCAGGAGGTGCACTTGTCGGCCGCCGCGAGGCAGGTCCGGCAGGCGGCGCTGCAGGCGGCGCACGTGCCGGTCCCGGCCACGACATACTCATCCCCGGCGCACTGGGCCACACACTGGCCGGCCGACAGGAGCAGCCCGCCGGAGCAGGCGGTGCACTCCGGCTGGCAGGTGCCGCCGACCGACCGACATGCCGCGCAGCCCTCCGGGCAGGCCCGGCACCGGGGGTCCGGGGCGCAGCCATGCCAGCCCGCCGGGCAGGTCTTGGCGCATGTGCCCCCGGGCTGGAGGAGCTCCCCCTCGGGGCAGGTGGCGCAGGTGGTCCGGTTGTCGCACGTGGCGCAGGATGCCTGGCAGGGGTGGCACGCCCCGGCCTGGGGGAAGAAGGCGGCCGGGCACTCGGCCAGGCAGAACCCCCCGTGGAGCAGGCCGCCGGCCGGGCAGGTGGCGCAGTGGCCGGGCTCCGGGCCGTGGCAGGTCGAGCAGAGCCCATGGCAGGGCAGGCAGGTCCCGGCATCCGGGAAGGTCCCGGCCGGGCAGGCGTCCCGGCAGTGGCCCTCCACCATCAGCGGGAAGGCCGCGCTGCAGGACAGGCAGTGGCCCGGCCCGGGGCCGTAGCAAGCCTCGCAGGAGTCATGGCACACGGTGCACACATTGCCCTGGGGCAGGGAGTCCGCCGGGCAGGTCGGCAGGCAGGCCTGCCCGGCCAGCAGCCAGGAGCCGGTGCACAGCCCGCAGGCGGCCGCCTCGCCCGGGCAGCTGGCGCACTGGTCATCCGAGCACCGGGTGCAGCCATCCGGGCCGGTGTGGTAGCCCACCGGGCAGCCGGCCACACACCGGTCGGGCCGGCCGCCGGCCGGCAGGGGCAGCAGCCCCGCCGAGCAGGCGGTGCACTCGCTCGCCCAGACCCCGGTGCACTCGGCGCAGGAGGCATGGCAGGGGAGGCACCGGTCGCCGACGGCCACATGCCCCGGGGCGCAGGCCTGCACGCAATGGGTCCCCTGCAGCAGGGCATCCCCCCGGCATTGCCAGCAGTCCCCCTCGGAGGGCCCATTGCACCGGGAGCAGGCCGCATGGCAGGGCAGGCACTCTTGCGAGTCGGCCTGGAGGAAGTACCCGTCCGGGCAGCCGGACTGGCACGTCCCCAGCGGGTAGAGGGACTCCTGGAAGAGCAGGTCCATCGGGCAGGAGAGGCACTCGTCCAGGCCGGGGCCCCGGCACTCGCCGCAGCTCGGGTCGCACGGCTGGCAGGACTCCCCATTCGGGTAGAACCCCGGCATGCAGAAGGCCCAGCACTCGTGCTCCGGCGTCAGGAAGAGGCTCTCCTCGCAGGTGAGACACCGGCCGGCCAGGCAGGAGGTGCAGCCCATCTCGCAGAGCAGGCACGGGGCCGCCGGGGGCCCGGGGGCCGGCGCCGGCGCCGAGGCCCAGCCATACTCCACGGCGCACACCTGGCACCGGGTGGCCTCGCCGGTGCAGAGGGCGCACGACCGGTGGCAGGCGGTGCACCGGGTGGCCCCGGCGAATTGCCCCGGCAGGCAGGTCGGGCCACACAGCGACGGGACTTGGGCATTGGCTTGGAGGAACACCAGCCCCGGCTGGCAGACGGTGCAGCTGCCGGCCTGCTGGCACTCGGCGCAGGACAGGTCGCACCGGTGGCACAGGCCGTCCGGCCCGACATGGTGCCCGGCCGGGCAGCCGGTGCAGCTGTCCGGCCCGCTGCAGGTCGCGCACTCGGCCAGGCAGGGAGCGCACCGGGCCGACCCCGGGTCCGGCCAGTGCCCGGCCGGACAGACATCCACACATGCCCCGGCGTGGAGCAGCCAGCCGGCGGCGCAGGCCGTGCAGGCGGCCGGGTCGCCGGCGGCCGTGCACCCGGCGCAGGCTCGGTCACAGGGCAGGCAGTGCCCGGGCTGGGCCGGGTCGTCGACCAACAAATACCCGGCCGAGCATTCGGTGCACCGGTAGCCCCCGGCGCCGGCCGGGTGGGGGTCCGCCTCGCAGTCGAGGCACCCGGTGTCGCAGGTGCACCGGCCGGCGTCGAGGTCGGCCAGCAGCCCGGCCGGGCAGGCGGCCATGCACTCGTCCGGCGCCGAGGCCAGGGCCAGCGTGCAGGCGGTGCAGTCCCCGGGCCCGGGGCCGGTGCACTCGCGGCAGGCCCCGTGGCAGGGCTCGCAGGCAAGGCCAAATGCCCCGGCCGGGCAGGCCACCTGCAGGGAGACGCTGATCGGGCCGACGGCCTCGGCGAAGGTGACCATGGTCAGGACGTGCCCCGGGGCCGAGGGGGCCCGGATGATGGCCGGCTGCCAGTTGGGCGCGCTGTCCGGCACATGCATCGGGGCCGACAGGGGCAGCACCGTCGGCCGGAGGAAGACGCACGGCCCCCCCGGCGGGGCCGGGCAGTAGAGCGGCACCAGGGCGAAGAAGGTCCGGCCCAGGAGCAGCAGCCCGGCCGGGTAGTGCGGCTGCTGCCAGGGCAGCGACACCGGCTGGACCAGGAGCCCCGGGCCGCCGGGCGTGTCGGCCACCGGCCCGGGCATCGGGCCCAGCGTCTGCCCGGCCGAGGGGACCCCCATGGACCGGCCGGCCGGCAGCATGTCCCCCGGGGCCCGGGACACCTGGAGGCTGGGCCCGGCGGTGTGGACGAGCACCAGCTCCGGCAGGGGGGGCCACTGGCCGGCCGGCGCGCCGCCGAAGCCGGTGTCCAGCAGCACCGGCACCGAGGGGCCCATGGGGGCCGCGGCCGGGGCCAGGAGCCCGAGCAGGGCCTCCCGCCGGGAGTCCCCCACGGGCAGGGCCCCCGGCAGCAGCGACACCCCGGAGTGGCTGGCAGAAAGCACCTCCCACGTGCCGGACCCCGGGCCCGACAGGAAGGACCGGGCCGGCACCGGGCCCCCGGGCAGGGTGGCCATGCCGAGGACCCGCGAGCCGAGGCCGACGAATTGCCCGGCCGCCGGGTCGGCCCGCAGGAGGATGCCCTGGTCGTCGCGCGTCACCAGGAGCACATGCCCCCGGTCCAGGCGCCGGACACCGAGGCACTGGCCCGGGGCCAGGTCCCGCCGGGGCGGCGGGCTGGCCAGGCTGCAGCCGGGCCCGCCGGCATCCGGGCAGCCGGGCCACACCTCGAAGGCCCGGCCCAGGCGGTCGCACAGGACCAGGCCCAGGGCCAGGCGGCCGGCATGCCGGAAGGGCCCGGCCTCGGCCATGGCCACCACCGGCTCCCCCGGGCCCGGGGCCAGGAGGCCCACCTCGACCGGGGCCGGGGCGCCGGGCCGGGCGATGTCGGCCGCCGGCAGCAGCAGCGTCTCGCCCAGGTCGGTGAAGAGCAGGACCCGGGTGCCGGGGGCCGGCGAGGTGGCCGAGGCGGCCGAGGTGGCCGAGGCGTCCGGGGCCGGGATGAACAGGTCCCCACTGTCGGGGGCCACCATCAGGTGGGTCTCCCCGAGGCCGGTGACGATGGTGCCGGTCGGCAGCCCGGGGAAGGTCTCCCACTCGGGGAGGGTGAAGGTGGCCGCCGGCGGGGAGAAGGCATCGGGCAGGCAGGCGCCGGGGTGTTCGGCGAAGCCGGCCGAGCAGCCCGGCACGCAGGCTGTCCTGCCGCCGGGGCCGCTGGGCTCCGGCAAGAAGCCCTGCGCGCACACGAGGCAGTGCTCGGCGGTGCAGGTCGTGCAGTTTTCCTGCGGGCAGGGCAGGCAGCCATGCGACGGGGCGGCGAAGGGCGGCTCATCTGCGCGGAGGCGGTGGTGGGGAGGGCGGCGGGGGGCGGAGAGAGAGAGAGGGAGAGAGGACGGTCAGGGGGGGCGGCGGCGAGAGGCAGGTACCGGGAGCCGCGGCGGCGGCGGCGGCGCAGGGGCGGGGGACGCACCGGCCGGCCGGTCCAGGAAGAAGCCGTCGGCGCACCCGGCGCACAGCTGGTCGGCCGAGAGGAAGGGCGACCGGGCGCGCCCCGGAGCGCACGCCCAGCCATGCCTGGAGCCGGTGCTCTCGGTCGGCCCGTCACAGACGATGCTCGGGTCGGTGGCACAGCCGAAGGCCTCGGTGTCGAAGAGGACCAGCTGGCCATCGGCCACCAGGGTCCACTGGCCGGGGTGCGGCTCGGGCAGGGTGCGCAGCCGGGCCAGCTGCAGCGAGCCCACGGTCGCCGAGAGGGCCGCCTCCGGCAGGATGACCCGGCGCCAGAGGAACCCCTGGCCGGGCTGCCGGGGGGCCGCGTGCCACAGCCCGGCCAGGCCGCCCTCGGGCGCGGGCTCCATGAAGTAGAAGTGCCCGGTGGCCTCGTGCAGGGAGGGCGCCGGCGGGGCCAGGAAGCGCCCCTCGGTGGAGGCCCCGGCCGGCAGGGGCCCGGCCATGGCCGGGCCCGAGGTGTGGCCGCCGGCCTGGCAGGGCAGCAGCAGGACCGACCGGTCGGCCAGCAGGAGCAGGAGATCCGCGGCGCCCGGGCACTCGGAGGCCGGGGAGACCACCCGCGTGGAGGCCATGCGGACGGCCTCGGCGTCGAGGGCCAGCTGGCTGACGCCGGCCGACCCGGCCCCGAGGAAGGCCACATGGTAGAGCGTCGAGTCGCCGGACAGGTAGATGGTCCGCCCGGGCCCGGGGGCCGCGAGGATGCCGGCGCTCAGCGGGGGCAGGGCCCCGGCCACCGGGCGCAGGGCCCCGGCCTCCAGGGTGGCCAGGAAGACCGCGTGCGGGGCCTGGCCCGGCTGGCCGACGATGCCCAGCAGGTCCACCTGCCCCGGGGAGCCGGCCACCGCGGCCAGCAGGGTGTTGTGCGACCCGGGCAGCGGGTGCTCGGTCGGCGACTCCAGCAGGGCCACCCACTGGTCGGTGTGCTGGAGCAGGACCGGCCCCGGGGCCCCGGCCGCCGGGAGGTACATCAGCGACGCGGGGCCCGGCGGGGAGGCCTGCCGGGGGGAGTCCACCCGGGCCGAGGGGCTGCCCTCGAAGAAGGACCCCCACCGGCACTCCGACACCGGGGCCAGGGGGTCCGCCTGCCGGTGCTGGGACACGGACCAGGCCAGCCCCGGGACATGGGCCAGCGAGGGCAGCCCCGGCGCCGCGACGAAGACCGTCGACGGGGTCAGGGCCGCCGTGGGCAGCGGCCCGGCGTGGAGGAAGAGGTCCGGCCCGGCGGCCGGCCGGACCGCCGGCACCGCGACCAGAGCCGCGAGCAGCACCAGCAGGGCGGCCGGCCACCAGCCTGCCG